CTCGCTCAAGCGATTGACGCTTCATTTCACTTTTACTGGTTTACTATTCCCTTTAAATGAAGTGAAGCCTTTGCTTTTGCAAAATGGGTGCAAACTGATGTCACTTGTAACTATTTTCCCCAACGGAATGCCTCTCTACTGTTTAACAACTGGAGCAAGCAAAACACGATCATTCATAACAAAAGTTAAATTAAGCCCTAGGCCTTTGAAATGCGGCACCATCTAGAGGCATGCAGTGATAAATTTTAAGTGCACAGACCAGGTAGGATGTAGGAATCCAAATAGGCTACACCTACAGACATAAATAAGTATTAAGCGAGATCCATTCAGGTCTCCACGCTAAGGAACTCGATCGTAGTGGAACATTCTTAGACAGAGACACTTCATTGGAGATCGTCATGACTACAAAGCAACTCTTTGATGAACGCATGGTTAAGTAACAAGGATCTCCCAGCAGTCATGAACAAGTGCATGTGGGTGTAGAGTGGACGCATTGGACGAGAGGCGCCGTGATTGGTTGGGGAGAAAAGTGCTTTGGGCCATATCAGCACACACCATACACACACACACACACACCAGAACACAACTTGCCTTGCCGTAGCAGTGGCTGTCTTCGCCTGTCAGCATGGCTCTCCTTGGCTTCTTTGCTCTCGCTCTATTCATCGGATCTATCACCTCCTCCAGTATGTTTATGACTCCGTTATTGGACTCACTAAATCAATAGGTTAACTCAATCAATCGATATTCCATTTGTAACAAATTGAACATTTAGGTAGACTATTGCAGGTGGAATTTGGAAAAACCCTTTTTACTTTTCATTAAATGACTGACTGCCTTCCAAAAGAATAAAATATTTCCAATGAAACCAATAATCATGCGTCGTATTTCTTTGCTTTCCGCCGTAAATGATGGTACAATAATCTAAATTACTCTGCGCTTAGGCATTACGCAAAATCGCCTTGACAAGCCAAGTTTGAGTCAAATAATTTTCTTTTGCAACAGCGATAGAGTAGCTTTTAATGCGGAACGTTTTCCTGTCTCCTTAAAGGTAAGCATAACTCACGAATAATAGAGTTGAATTAATTTTCCCACACCGGATAAGCATTAAAATTGTTTACAAAATAAGTATTTACTAACCCCCGGGAAAAAAATACAACCTTAAACCTGTGGTGGGATATTGTCCGAAGTTAATTGCCCCACCTAGGGAAAGCATTCAGCGTGAAATGCCATCAGCAGTTGCACTTTCATTCGTAATAATATTGCCATCCGCATCTGATCGGGGAGAGAAAAGTTCTAAATTTCTCCAAAAATGAGCTCTCTCGTGGGGCCTCAGGGGACTGACTGCCAGAGTGGGCGGAAAGTGATCTATACAAAGTCCTCTGCTCAGAGACCACAAAAGGCTTGTCTCCTTTGCACAAGCACAATCAACACCCATTTCACCGTTCTCCGTCTGTGGCCATGGGAGACAGAGGCCACACTAGTGGACGGCAGGTTGCAGTAATGAGCGCATAGAAGTGACTACAATAAGCGAAAACTTTGATGCAAAATTTATGAAAGCGTGAAGTGAGGGTGCTCTTGTCAGACGATTTGTAAATAATGACCACATAGAACAGCATTTGAAAAAGTGTTCGGAATGGGAGACGTGTTTCCTCCGTCAATAGATGCCATGCTTGGCGTTGCGACCGACTTAGATTGCATATTTGAAAAAAAGTGTGGGCAATGCTTTCCCACTTAAGATGTACACGGAGTTTATTAATGAGATACTTTAAGTAAATTCAACTTTTGATATCCTACAGAGGCAGCATGGCAACTATATCTAGGTTCAGAAATATTGATTTTTTAATGCCCTTTGGGGGGTAAACTACTTATGCAGTTAAGAGTACAAATAAGTAGTCGCGCTCAAAAAAAGATTTTACCAACTGAAATGGGGCGCTTGTACAAAGTGGATGAGGATTTCTAGACTACTTAGGGGCTCCAACATGTATACTAGCTTCAAGTAAACCTCTACAGATTGTCCTTTCGGCTAACATAATGCCCTAATGTGGAACCCTGTTTGGCCGCCTACTTGTCTGCACCCCCTCCTAGCCATGGCTTTGAACTTACCTTTTCGTGCGGGACAATGTCCCTCTGATTGGCAAACATGGTTGCATCCAACTGTACAAGGGTGATTGTTGGACGCTTTTAAAATAAATCAAAGGCTTTAACTTTTTCATGTAAATGCAATAGGAACAAACTAAGGGAAGCATTTGAATTATGTTAGGAAAGTCTCAATAAGTCGTAATCTGTTTAAAGTTTATGATTAAGACCACCATTTCGATGAACTTCACTTCGTAATTCTGAAGTACTGAGTGGGCTAATGGATACCCTAACATAAAGTTTGTTTTACCGGTCAGTACCGATGACCTATTTTAGTGTTAGGTGATTGAAGAAAATTGTTAAATTTCCAAGCTTGCAGAGTCTCGACTCTCAATTTAAGCACACCCTTTTAAATAAGTTGTTACCAAAAGGCCGTATCATCGGCTGTAACAGTCTGGTTGGCGAGACCCTACCGCAGTAACTAATATTTTTTTGCCATTTCGAGCATTTAAGACATTAAGGACATTCACTTACGGTTCCCATCACGTGGTGTCAGTGCATCACTTTGAATGTCTTTTTAATTCTTCATTTTGGTGTTGCAGACTCATGAAGTATTGCCGAACAACCTGGAATCCGAACCACGTCGGTAGCTCCTCACCTCTTATGTAAGAATCAGGGTATTACACTCAGTGGCAGTGCTAGTAACCTAGGCAACCAATTCAATTTTCACCTTTAAGATTCACCATAATGCCCATTTCTTCCATATTCCATGATAAGAACCACATCCAACCAGCTCACATCAAACATGAAAAGTTAATAAACAAAAGCTTGATGAAGTAGGTGAAGGAAAGTTGTACGCCTGTCTAACCATGCAAACTTGGATGCCATCAGATGAAAAAAAATCCAAGTTGCATCGCGAATTTGAAGCATAGTAAATTTTTAAATAGACAGAAAGATTGTTGATCGTACTTTGTCAAGCCTACATGCAAGTCTCGCAGAGCTAACACACGACATAACAATTTTCATATTGCACCTGAAGCCATAGTTCAGGCAAGGAACACCAAACGGTGCACGCTTAAGGTTGTAAGTGAACATTAGTGGAACTATGGTTGCAAATAAATTGTATTGATTATCGATTTGTCTAAGATCATTGTTATTGATCAGTCACAAGTTGAGCTGGTCTCTCTCGGGTCTGACCTCGTCAATGGAGCTAAGATGTGACGGAAGCGGGAGAGGAATTTTATGAACAGTCATTCCCGATGTCTCTGATGTTTGTCAATCCAAAAATTCGGTCATGGGAAGTTTTGTGTTTTCACTGGTTGTAAAATTAAAGTTGAGAAAAGAAGGAAATGATGCTTGTGAATACAAGCGCAAGGTTTACTTTTATGCAGAACATTTTGGGATATTTAAAACGATCTTTAATGACATGGCAGAAATGTCCTGGATGCACATTAGTTGACCGACCTATTTAAAAAAACGGTAAACTGACAGTGTATCTCAAGTACTGGTATCGTGTAAGACTTTTTTCAAAAAAAGCACAAGCTTAGCCTAAAAGCAAGCACTCGCCCATGGCATGCGAGGACTTGTACATAATTAGCTCTACTTCCGATTCAATTCACCCTATTGTCTCCAATTTCCAATGTCTTAGGCAACATTGGCTAATAACTATTGCGAGAAACTTTTCTTCCTGAAAGGACACTCGTCATTTAGGTGATCTGTATTAATAAAAAGTGCTCCTTTATAGCATTGTTTCTGCTTTATAAATCCATAGAAGTGCAATTGTTGAGCACGAAGAATGCCTTGGCCTACGCCAATTCCGTGTCAGAAGCCAGTTCCCCAGCCTATGCCATCGATGAGGAAGTGAGTGACGACCAGCCGACCTGCTTTTACTCGCATATAGGCCAATACGATCCCGATGGCTTCAGCTGGCTTGTTATTGACCTTGGCGTGGTTACGTGGAACATCACGGAGACTTACCTCGTTCTCAATTCTAGCACTACAGGTACTGCTCTCAAGGAAACTTTTTATCCTATTAGCCCTCTTTA